GGTGGGGGTGGGGGGGTGTGGGTGGGGGGGGGCGGTGGGGGGGGGGGGGGGAGGAGTGGGGCTCTGTCTGTGGGGGGACAGACTGGCAGTTAGTCAGGGATGTGGGGGGGAGTGTCGAGAAGAGCGGGGCTCTGTCTGAGAGACAGACTTGCACTCAGATGCTCTATAGAGCTATGTTTGGGTAGTGAAGAGCAGACTGTGTCAGCCAAGGGTATGGGGAGATGGAAGTTTCTGGAAGTACCAAGTTCTGTTTGTGGAGCGGTGTGAGGGGCTGAGATATATTGACAGTAAGTCAGTGATGGGGACAGTGGATGGAAGTTTGGGGTAGAGCCAGGATGGTGGGATGGGGACCAGGATGGTGGGGAATTGATTGGCAGTTAGGGATATCACTGGGGCTGTGGAGGGGAGTGCGGAAGATTTTTGGCAGGGCTGGGGCAGTTAATAAGTTGGGGCAGGGGACAGACTAGCAGGGAATCAGGGGTGTTGTGGAGGACAGCTTTTGGAAGTAATGGGTTTAGTGACGGGCAGACTGAATGGCCATCAGGAATACAGAGACAAGGTTCTGGAAAATTAGGTTTTGTTTGGGTGAGAGCCTGGCAAAGGATTATGGAGTCAGGGGCTAGAAGATTCTGACAGAGCCAGGGCAGTTCCAGGAGGTGGTGGTGGGATGGGGGTGGGGTAGAGAATAGACTGGCAGTTAGTCAGGAATATCACAGGGGGGTGGGAAGGAAGCTCTGGGCTCTTAGTTTTGGGGAGACAGTCAGTCAGGGGTGTGTTTGTAGGGATGGAAGATTCTGGAAGAGCAAGAGTCTGACTGTGAATGGGAAACAGAATGAGGAGTACAGGGTAGGAATGGGAGGCTCTTTCAGAGTCATAGAAATCATAGAAAAACTAGAACTGGAAGGGGCCTTGAGAGATTATCAAGTCCAGTCCCTTGCCCTCACGGCAGGACCAACCACCATCTAGATCATCCCTGATAGATGTCTATCCAACTTGCTCTTAA